AAATTTACAGATGTAGACAAAAAAAGTGAATTATGAGGTATATCTGGATGGCTGGATTAATGGGATGCAATAAATATAAATAAATGCTATAAATAAGTAATGTTACAAAATAAGTGTGTTCTTAGGATTATAATATACAGATTAAGGTGCAGTGAGCATGCTATACTAATAATATACAGATTAAGATGCAGTGAACATGCTATACTAATAATATACAGATTAAGATGCAGTGAGCATGCTATACTAATAATATACAGATTAAGATGCAGTGAACATGCTATACTAATAATATACAGATTAAGATGCAGTGAGCATGCTATACTAGTTTACAGCATATGAACATACTATAATACAATAATACAGATGGATGAGAGATGTGTGTGTATGACCAGGAGGAGTGGTGGGGCGATGATGGGTGTGAGGTGATATGTAGGGGAAAGGGGGGTCAGCAGGGTGCGGAGAGAGAGAGAGAGAGACAGAGTTCAGAGTTCGGGGGGTAGAGTTCAGTAGAGAAACAGCTTTGGGGAAAAAGTTGTTCCTCAGTCTGCTGGTTCTGGTCCGGAGGCTTCTGAAGCGCCTGCCGGAGGGCAGGAGGGTAAACAGTCTGTGGGCAGGGTGGGAGGAGTCTTTAAGGATGCCGTGAGCTCGCCGCAGACAGCGTGTTCTTTGGACATCCTCAATGGCAGGAAGTGGACACCTTGTGATGCGCTGGGCGGTTTTTACCACCCGCTGTAGCGCCTTACGGTCTGCGACAGAGCAGTTTCCGTACCAGACTGAGACACTGCTGGTCAGGATGCTCTCGATCACACAGCGGTAGAAGTTCATCAGTACAGCTGAAGACAGGTGGTGTCTCTTCAGTGTCCTCAGGAAAAAGAGGCGTTGATGAGCCTTCTTAACCAGACTGGAGGTGTTAGTGGACCAGGAGAGGTCCTCTGTGATGTGGGTCCCCAGGAACTTGAAGCTGGAGACACGTTCAACAGCCATCCCGTTGATGTGAATGGGGTTGTGCGTGCTTCCTCTTTCTCTCCTGAAGTCCACGATGATCTCCTTCGTCTTGCTGGTGTTGAGGAGCAGGTTGTTGTCAGCACACCAGGCGGCCAGATGCTGTACCTCCTCCCTGTAGGCCGTGTCATCGTTGTTGCTGATGAGGCCAATCACCGCTGTATCGTCCGCAAACTTGATGATGGTGTTGGATCCATGTACAGGTCTGCAGTCGTGGGTGAAGAGGGAGTAGAGGAATGGGCTCAGCACACAGCCCTGTGGTACGCCTGTGTTGAGTGTGATGGTGGTGGAGCAGGTGTGTCCTGACCTAACATACTGGGGTCTGTTGGTCAGAAAGTCCATTATCCAGTGACGGAGGGAGGTGTTGAAGCCCAGGTCTCCGAGTTTAGTGTTTAACTTGGAGGGGATGACAGAGTTGAATGCTGAGCTAAAATCAACAAACAGCATTCGTGCGTATGTGTTGTTATTGTCCAGATGAGTGAGCACAGAGTGCAGCGCAGTGGAGACTGCATCCTCTGTACTCCTATTGCTGCGGTAGGCAAACTGGTATGGGTCCAGTGTGGGTGGGAGGCAGTTTTTCAGGTGTGCTAGGACCAGTCGCTCAAAGCACTTCATTATGATGGGTGTGAGTGCCACAGGGCGGTAGTCGTTCAGGCCTGTCGGGCTGGAGTGTTTCGGCACTGGGACAATGGAGGTGGCTTTGAAGCATGCTGGCACAGCTGCTTGGGCGAGGGACAGGTTGAAGATGTCCGTAAAAACCCCAGTGAGCTGCTCCGCACATGCCTAAGCACGCGCCCGGGGGTGCCGTCTGGACCAGCAGCCTTTCGAGCGTTGATCCGGCTCAGTGCAGCGTGGACGTCTGTGGAGGTGAGTGAGAGGGGTTGGTTGTCTGCAGGAGGTCTGGTCGTGGTCTGCGATTCCCTGTTGTCTCTATCGAAACGAGCATAAAAGTGATTTAGCTCGTTCAGGAAGGAGACATCTGTGGTTATCGGGGTGGAGTTTCTGGGTTTATAGTCACTGATGGCCTGGATGCCCTGCCACATGCGTCTGGGGTCGGAGTTGGAGAAGTGTTCCTCAACCTTCAGCTTGTAGCAGTGCTTGGCCTTGATGATGCCCCTCCTCAGGTTTGCCCTGGATACGCTGTAGGCCATTGCATCATCTGATCTGAAGGCGGTGTTGCGGGCCTTCAGCAGGAGACGCACCTCCTTGTTCATCCATGGCTTCTGATTTGGGTACGTGGTGATCTGCTTCCATGTTGTAACACTGTCGATGGTGGTGTTGATATAATCCAGCACAGAAGAAGTGTAGGTGTCAATGTCTGTGTGAGAGCCCAAGGTAGCCTGCGAAGCAAACATACTCCAGTCTGTGTGATGGAACTTGTCCTGAAGTACAGAGTCTGTCCCCGCTGGCCACACTTTAATCGTTGTCACTGATGGCTTCACACGTTGGATGAGTGGGGAGTACTTGGGGATGAGGAACAAAGAAAGATGGTCTGACTGTCCCAGGTGGGGGAGGGGGGTCGTGGTGTAGGCTCCTGCGATGTTTGTGTAAACATGGTCCAGAGTTTTGTTTCCTCTTGTATTGCAGGAAACATGCTGGTGAAATTTAGGGAGCACTGTCTTTAAGTTTGAGTGATTAAAATCACCTGCAACTATAAATGCAGCCTCCGGGTGAGCAGTCTGTTGTTTACTGATAGCGGTGTAAAGTTCCTTCATAGCAGCTTTAGCATCGGCATCAGGGGGGATGTAGGCTGCAGTTACAATGGTGGAGCTGAGCTCCCTTGGCTGATAGAAAGGTCTACATTTAACCATGAGAAACTCAATGTTAGCTGAGCAGTGTCTCCCAATAATGACAGAGTCTGTACACCAAGCTTTGTTAATATAAATGCACAGCCCTCCTCCTCTGGTCTTACCGGAGTCCTCTGCTATTCTGTCTGCTCGGTGTGTGTGGCGACCGGCTAGCTTGATAGCATCGTCCGGAACTCCGTTGTTTAGCCATGTTTCCGTGAAGATCATGACATTACAGTCCATAATTCTCTTGCTGTGGATGATGCGAAGTCGTAACTCGTCCATTTTGTTCACCAAAGACGCACATTAGCGAGGAAAATGCTGGGTAACGGGAGACGGTGCGGTGTTAGCTTTAGCTTAGCCCTTATACCTCCGCGCTTCCCCCGCCTTTGTTTACGGTCTCGACGCCGCCTGCGAGCACTTCCGCCCGGCCGGGTAGAGTGTGTAGCCTCGGGTGTTTTGGCGATCTCAGGGATGAGTCGAAGATTGTTGATTAAATCGTCAGGGAGGTGTATTCCGATATCCAAAAGTTCCTGTCGGGTGTAGGATGTTAAGGCGAGGCTGTTCCGTGCGAACAGACCCGAAATTAACAATAAAATAACTGCAAAATTGCAAATCTGAGAGAGACGCTGGGCCTCGCGATGCGCTCGCGCCGCCATCTTGGTCAGATATATTATCAGAAAGATAACGGTCTTATTCCGTCCTGCAACGAAAGGACATCAAAGGACATCTTTCCACTCAACGGAGAACCAACGAAGCCGCTCTCGCCGTAAGGGACCCTCGCCGCCATCAGACGCCTCTGCACCAGGACGGACAGAAGATCTGCTCCATCGCCGGACTCTTTTCCTTTCACCAATCGCGGACAAAGCGATTCACAAGTGAGGCTTAATTAGGTCTGGGCAGAATTAGCTTTAGAGAGTGTTTTTAACAATTGTTGATCGAAGCAGAAACTGTAATTTTTATCTTTGTTGGACCGCTGCGTCCTGAGTTTTAACTGTTTAAAACTTGTGTTGTTGTTTCGGACCTCTGCGTCCTATATGTGTTTAGCGTAACAGCGTTATAATCGGGTATTACTCTTCTGATCAGAAAGGCCAGTGTAAGCCGTATTAACTTGAATTCGGCTATTGGTTTGTTTCTGTGAATGAAGGGAATTACTCCGAGTTGTGGCGCGGGAGTCGGACTGTGATCCGGCCTCTTCAGGCACGCATTTCTCCTTTATTCTCTTTTATCCTCTTTTATTTCCCCTTCTACGAACATACACACACACATATTCCTGTGTAAACGTACATCTGTAGACCAACTCCACCACCGCGCCATTACGCACAGAGATCTATACACTCGCGGCTATCCAGACGCCTCAGAGACACAGATCGTGTAGGGCCGAACTCGGTCTCTTTTAGACATTAAGGCCACATTTAGGCCTTTGTTAGGTGTGCGCCATCGGAAGGGCGACCACATGGGACGAAGTAATCTTCCCCCCCCTTTCTCTCCCTTTCATCCACATTCGCACGCACGCACCCAGGTCTTTGTTAGGTTTGCGCCATCGTGAACGACCACGTGGGTACGAAGCCATCTCCCCCCCTTTCTTGTTCTCTCTCTCTCTCTCTCTCTCTCTCTCTCTCTCTCTCTCTCTCTATCTCATATCTACATACACACTCATCTGCACACACACACATTTACACCTCATCCACAAGCCTTGCTTGATAATGTTTGTTGCTTAGATTAGTTTATAATAGTTATTTGTTTAATTAAGTTCATTGATTTTGGGTTGATGTTGCTTTGTTTAAATAAATTCTGTTATAATTTAAGAGAGCAGTTGTTTGTGGTTACTGGTTGTATTTGCATTGTGATATAAGCTGGGTGCGAAGGCTTTGTGTACGGATTTCACGCCTTCAGTTTATTAAATATAGTTATTCATTATTAATAGTATTAGTAATTAAATAACTAATTTGAGACTGATTTGAGTGATATTTTGGTTATATTTACCTGATTACAGGTTGGTGCCCCAAAACGAGATTAAACATAGTTTAATGATATCTTATTTATATTATTAATAATTAAGTATAATTATTAAAGAATATAACCAAAGTTGACTTGATACAACCCCAACAACTGAAACATCAACACCTCCTCTCTACTTTGATCCTTTGTGTCATTCATGGAATAAAGAAACAACACAGTGTTTAATGTGTTGCTCAGTGTCTGCTTTGCTCTTCATATTTCATTTGTAATAAAGAAGCATCATCAGTGTGTCTCTTGTTGCAGGGATCAAGCATGGCAACGCCTGCAGGAAGACAGGGAACAGCTTCGAGTCCAAGAAGAACGTTTTTTGGCCCGTCTCCCACCTGATTGGTGAGTAAAATGTATTTACAACATATACAGTATGTATTCTTTCAGATGAAGCTATGAACATCATTTAAATGTTTTTTTTCTTCAGAAAGGTAAATTGATTTTTGTTTTCACATATTTATAAAATTATTGTTCCTGCTGGTTCAGAAATATCTCATAAAAAACTCAGGTTTGATTTCCATATGAGAAGCTGGGTTAATCATTCAGAGTGAACCAGATTAAGTCTGACTGGACTAATCTTGAAGTTTTTCATCTGTTGTTGTGGTTTGATATCTAACTATCTAATCTTTCTCTCTTTTTCAGCATTCTCAGTGATGACGGCAAATCGTCATGTCTATCTGATCCATCCCTCCACAGTGATCAGTCAAAAGAAAAAATGATTGAATTAAAAAAATTAGAAATATGTGACCCAGAAATGTAAGTGTTTTCAACATTGAATCCTGACAGTCATGTTTGTACACACACACACACACACACTGAGTCTGTTTTGCTGCATGTTTAAAAAACAAATACAATCTCATGTTGAGTCGATCATGTTTGCACTCTGAAAACTTTCATCCGTCTTTATTATTTTCACAACAGGTTTGTTTTTCTAACTTTTTTTGCATCCTTCCAATCCGTGTTCAGGATCAGTTTCTGTGTGTAAATTGGTGGTGTTCCTTTAATGTGCAGTTTCAGTATAGCTAGCAGCGTATCAAACTCTGACATCCTGAAATACACCTGAAGTGATGCTGATCATTCTGCAGCTCTTTTATCAACAGGGGAAACTCTCCTGGCTCTTGTCTTGTTTTCAGGAGTGGGTGGACCCAGAGGTTTTTATTTATTTATTTTTTAAGGACTGAAAGAATCACAAAGTCATCCTCACGGCTCGATGACTCCATTCTGTCTCACACTGACAATTTTCAGAATGAAGAGAAGAATGAACACATCTGAGTCAGAGTGCGAGGTTCCTGTGTAACGTTTTGATCGGATTACAGATCTGAAAAACACATTTTAAAAAAACAGACTCAGTGTGCAAAGACCTTAAAGATGAAACAACCCCCATGGTTGATGTAAAGCAAACGCCATGCTCCTGTTTAAAAGATGTTGAAGTGATGTTGAGTTTTCAAGTCAAATGTTTGACTGAAACATCAACACCTCCTCTCTACTTTGATCCTTTGTGTCATTCATGGAATAAAGAAACAACACAGTGTTTAATGTGTTGCTCAGTGTCTGCTTTGCTCTTCATATTTCATTTGTAATAAAGAAACATCATCAGTGTGTTTCTTGTTGCAGGTATCAAGCATGGCGACTTCTGCAGAAACAGAAGAAACTCATTCAAATGCAAGAAGAACTTGTTTTGGCCCGTCTCCCACCTGATTGGTGAGTAAAATGTATTTACAACATATACAGTATGTATTCTTTCAGATGAAGCTATGATCATCATTTAAATGTTTTTTCTTCAGAAAGGTAAATAGATTTTTGTTTTCACTTATTTATAAAATTATTGTTCCTGTTGGTTCAGAAATATCTCATTAAAAAACTCTGGTTTGATTTCCATATGAGAAGCTGGGTTAATCATTCAGAGTGAACGCATCTCAGTTTCTCGGAGAGCGTCAGACTATAACAGATTATCAGAAAGATAACGGTCTTATTCCGTCCTGCAACGAAAGGACATCAAAGGACATCTTTCCACTCGACGGAGAACCAACGAAGCCGCTCTCGCCCGCTCTCGCTGGGTTAATCATTCAGAGTGAACCAGATCAAGTCTGACTGGACTAATCTTGAAGTTTTTCATCTGTTGTTGTGGTTTGATATCTAATTATCTAATCTTTCTCTCTTTTTCAGCTTTCTCAGTGATGACGACCAATCACCAAGTTCATCTGTTCCATCCCTCCACAGTGATTGGTCAAATGGACAATTAATTAATTTCAAAAAATTAGAAAAATGCGACCCAGACAGGTAAGTGTTTTTAACATTGAATCCTGACAGTCATGTTTGTACACACACACACACTGAGTCTGTTTTGCTGCATGTTGAAAAAACTTACACAATTTCATGTCAATCTCCAGTCGATCATTTTTGCACTCTGAAAACTTTCATCTGTCTTTATTATTTTCAGAACAGGTTATGATTTTCATGTTCAGGCAACATATACATTTATATATCACATATCTGAGGAATCAACATTATGAATTTCTCAAACATATCATTATTAGGCAAAACCTAATCTGCATTTCTATAATCAGTTTTATTTATAGCTGCAGATTGTCAATCCCTCCCTACTCCCTGTTTCCCGTGGCGACCAAACCCCCCCCCCCCCCCCCGCAAGATCTCCAACTATATACACAAGTTCTGGAAAATATGCTACAATTCAACTAACTTAGTTAGAAAGTCGCACTCCCCTGACTACATTATTTTACATATTGCATATGTGATGTAATTGCATCTGTATATGGATGCATGTATTCGCACATACATGTTCATACACTCAAAACACATTTCTCTACACATTCAAAATAAAATCCACATATGTCAACACAGGTAACAGTTTATGAATTGAGGTGTATTAAGTCTTTTGGGAAATGTAGAAAACACCAAGTATTAAAGGGCAATTCATCACATTAACATTCACTTGTTTCTCAATAATACACAGTTCTTTTACTTATTGGTAGTTAATAATGCTTCAATTATAGTTAAAATCAACGTCCAAGATGATATGGTGTTTCTATTGGCACCATGGATTTTGGCTACAGAAAGTTCCATGTTAACTACCTCAAGATAAGTATTAATCCACTGTGATATTGAGAGAACATGTGAAAGTTGCCAGCGGAGAGCCAACATCTTTCTTGCGGCAGTAATCCAGCTAACATTATGCGTTTTTGTGAGTATGCAAGTTGTAGGGTAGTATTGTGTGAGTGCAAAGGTATATCACAATTTAAGATTCTAGATAAAATAAGGCAAACTTGTCTCCAAAATTTTGCTACATGCATTCCAAGACATGTGCATAAATGAGCCAACATGAGTATCTGGGCAGAGATCACAATTTGATAAAGAAGACAGTTTCATAAGGTAACGTTTCCTGGGTGTAAGATAGGTTCTGTGAATGAAGTTAAGGTGTATTAGTTGGAGGTTTGGGTTTTTGGAAGAGTCAACGATAGTTCCCCATATCTTTTTCTAACTATCATCCTCCAAAGCTACCTCCAGTTCCCTAGACCACACTTGCTGGATGTACATGGATGTACACACTTGTATGGATGCTCTCCCACACTGGAGATGCAAATGGAACAGACCCAGTTAGAAGGGAATTATTATGAAATATAGGGCTGTGTGCCACTTCTGACTTGTTTTCGATTCTCTTTCTGTTTTGCGCCATATTGATAGGACTAAGATGGAGTTTGGCATGTTTTAGTGGTATGGCAGAGTAAACTAAATCCTTTAATCTATGAGGATGGGCTATGTATTCCTCTATAGGTTTCCATGACACCACAGCATCAGGGTTAAACCAGGATGAGATAGGCCTTAGGACAAATGACCAGGAATAGTATTTAAAATTTGGGACGGAGAGACCTCCTGATGATTTATGACATCGCAGTGTGGATAACTTAACACAGGGTCGCTTCCCTCCCCAAATGAATTTAGTCACAAGTGACTGAATCTTGTCCTAGTATGTCCAGTAGTGGTGGTAATGGCAACATGGAGGAAAAGAAGTTTACCCGTGGTAGGATGTCCATTTTTACTATGGAGACGTGAGCCTGAAGAGAAATGGGGAATTTGACCCATCTATCTAGATCGACAGTTATACATTTATAATTATTCCAATAGTTGTTTGTCATAGTGCTATTAAGAGAAGGAGAAATGACCTCTCCCAGATATTTAAATTGTTTGACCATAGGAACTAGTGCTGGTAAGGAAGATGGGTCTAAGTAGGAATTAAGGTAATGAAGCCCTTAAAGACCTTAAAGACCAAAGACCTTACATTTTTGACTGAAACATCAACACATCCTCTCTACTTTGATCCTTTGTGTCATTCATGGAATAAAGAAACAACACAGTGTTTAATGTGTTGCTCAGTGTCTGCTTTGCTCTTCATATTTCATTTGTAATAAAGAAACATCATCAGTGTGTCTCTTGTTGCAGGGATCGAGCATGGCAACTTCTGCAGAAACAGAAGAAACTCATTCAAATGCAAGAAGAACTTGTTTTGGCCCGTCTCCTACCTGATTGGTGAGTAAAATGTATTTACAACATATACAGTATGTATTCTTTCAGATGAAGCTATGAACATCATTTTAATGTTTTTTTCTTCAGAAAGGTAAATTGATTTTTATTTTCACTTATTTATAAAATTATTGTTCCTGCTGGTTCAGAAATATCTCATAAAAAACTCAGGTTTGATTTCCATATGAGAAGCTGGGTTAATCATTCAGAGTGAACCAGATCAAGTCTGACTGGACTAATCTTGAAGTTTTTCATCTGTTGTTGTGATTTGATATCTAACTATCTAATCTTTCTCTCTTTTTCAGCTTTCTCAGAGATGACGACCAATCGGCATGTCCATCTGATCTATCCCTCCACAGTGATTGGTCAAACGGAAAAATAATTGATTTTAAAAAATCTGACAAAAGCAACCCAGCCAGGTAAGTGTTTTTAACAATGAATCCTGACAGTCATGTTTGTACACACACACACTGAGTCTGTTTTGCTGCATGTTGAAAAAACAAATACAATCTCATGTTGAGTCGATCATGTTTGCACTCTGAAAACTTTCATCTGTCTTTATTATTTTCAGAACAGGTTTGTTTTTCTGTTTGAACACATCTGACTCAGAGTGTGAGGTTCCTGTGTAATGTTTTGATCGGATTACAGATCTGAAAAACACATTTTAAAAAAACAGACTCAGTGTGCAAAGACCTTAAAGATGAAACAACCCCCATGGTTGATGTAAAGCAAATGCCATGCTCCTGTTTAAAAGATGTTGAAGTGATGTTGAGTTTTCAAGTCAAATGTTTGACTGAAACATCAACACCTCCTCTCTACTTTGATCCTTTGTGTCATTCATGGAATAAAGAAACAACACAGTGTTTAATGTGTTGCTCAGTGTCTGCTTTGCTCTTCATATTTCATTTGTAATAAAGAAAGCATCATCAGTGTGTCTCTTGTTGCAGGTATCAAACATGGCAACGTCTGCAGAAACAGAGGGAACATCTTCGAGTCCAAGAAGAACGTTTTTTGGCCGACCTCTCACCTGATTGGTGAGTAAAATGTATTTATATCATAAAAGGATCTTTATTGTCATGTCTCTATTGTTCATGAATGAATGTTTGTTTCATATTTTAATGATGAAATTTTGTAAATCAACATTTTAAAGCCAGACCGTCTTCTCCTTCAGAGAAAATGACATTTTGCTTTATTAATGAACATTTTGGTCAACGACACAAAGTATAAATAACATGTTTCTTTTTTTTTTCACTTACTTTGATCATATTAAAAAAATGAGCTGCTTTTGATTTTAATGTTTATTTTGATGAAGAATAATCATACAATGCTTATTACTCCATGCAGGATGGAGGAAGAGGAAGAGGAGGAAGAGGAGACTAAATCAGTGATCTAAAAGTCTGAACTTTGTGTCTGGACTTTGGGCTGACTGGTTGTTTGAAAACCATGTTGAGTATAATGATCTGTAGCTCTTTTTGTGACAGCTTGATTTGGATACTTATGGATTAAACAAATGTAAATGATAAGATTTGTTAGTGACATAAGATGATGAAGTCAACTCAGCCTTAAAAACAACTGTTGTTTTCTATTGTCTTACTGTCATCTGTGTACTCATTCTTTAATTTTCTCTGCTGGGATTCTTTTGATTGATTGAAGTCTTTTTTTCAAATTTGTATTTTCTTTTTTTCCCCCCTTTGTTTCAGGATAAAAAAACAAACAAAACAGATCCACAAAAAGAAAAGTAAATAAGACAACAGAACATTTGAATTTCATGTTCGTAAAGAAGTGGGAAGAAATGTGAATTTATAGAATCCCACCCTCTCCGTTAATCTGTAGTTAACAGTTGAACAGGCTTCCTTATTTAATCTTCATTTACGAATAAATAAATAACGAATCTGCAATACACATTTATATATATAAACCAATAAACATACAAAATATATAAATTAAATACAAATGTGTTTCTGCAAAATAAATTTCATTTTTCAAACATGCACAGGTGTAATTAATTTATACTTGTCCAAGATGGGCACACCTCCATCGCAGTAGAGAGTCTATCATTGTTTGTCTATCATTTATCAACCATTGACATATTTTAACATGTATTGATTTCTTTTATCTTCTATATTCATGTTCTTCTCCCTTAATTAATGATATACAGTTAGTAGTAATACATTTAAGTTAGTGTTTTTTTCTCCATTACCTATTTACCCTTCACCATACCTGTCAACATATTTACATATATACCTTCAGTCCTTTTATTAAAAAAAAATGAACAACCGTTATAATCACCATCATAACCACGCAGCAAATGTTTAGTCCCTTCTGCGTCCTTATACTTTCTGAAAATGTTTTTATTTTTTTTGTACATGTTTTAAAAGTTGTTTGTGCTTGGACTTGGCTTCAGCTCCACATTTAAACTGTTACAAAGTTTTATGCCAACAATAGAAATAGAAAAACTTCTGAATGTTGTGCGTGTGGCCAGAATTTTGAGATTCAGTTGTCTCCATATTGTAACCCCCCTCTCTATCAAAGAATAGTTTTGGGATATTTGCTGGTAGTAAATAGTTTTTTTTCTTTGTACAGTATTTGTGCTATTTGAAATTCTGTGAGTTTGAGTGTTTTTGACTGCAAGAATAATGAGTGAGTGTGATCCCGATATCCAGCGTTATGAACGAAGCCTATGGCTCTTTTCTGAAGTACGGAGAGTGAGTGCGCTTAACTTTTATATGTGTTGCCCCGAACCTCCTCTCAGTAACTTAAATATGGTAAAACAAGTGTACTGTAGAGGGTATGGAGAGATTTGTGATTTATTTATCTATTGTTACCCCAACAAATGTGTATACATAAACTCTTTCAATGTTGACACCATCTATTTGTCACTGTATTTTTGTGTTTGCTTTATATTTACCAAATAAAATAATTTTTATGTGATTCAAATTTAATGAAATTTATTTCTATCAAACACTTTTTAATTGTTGCCATTTCTGTAGTAATAACCTCTAATAATTGTAGATTCTCACCTGAACAAAGAATATTGTTATCATCTGCAAATAAGACCAGCTTCAGTTTATTAGAGACTTTAGATACAGTATGTCATTAATGTATTAAATAAACAGATTAGGACCCAACACTGACCCCTGGGGGATGCCACAAGCAATGTCCAAGCACGATGATTAAAACTCCCCCAACTTCACAAATTGTTGCCTACGATACGATCCCCCTGATGCCGTATCGTTCTAGTTTATTGATCAGTATTTCATGATTTATTGTGTCAAATGCTTATTTGTAGTCCAAAAATACCCCAACTGCTTTGTGATTTCCTCTTGATTCTATTAATGCGAATGATGTGGAATGGTTTGTCTGAATCTGTATTGTACGGTGGCTGGGAAGTACAAACCAAAAGACAAATTCACTCTCTGGAAATAATTATTTACATTTTAGAAAACAAATTTAAAAGGTGTCAAACACTTTTACGAGCGCTGAGAGGAATTTACAAATGCCAGAATCTTGATGGAAAGGGAATGTACCAAATGCCAGAAGCGGTCACTTAACCTGTTTTCACATATGCAGACTATTCCTGTATCACAATGTCAACTAAAGAGTGAGAACAACATACTGACAACAGAAAACTTAATGCAGTCGTTTAATTACCTGCATGGAGATCGTACGGTGTATACACTTTATGCACCGTGCAGCAGTCACAGTATACACGTCACTCCCCCCTCCCATTGGCTCGAGGTGAATTCTCCAGAGAATATCCTGCTGCGTTCTCACATCAGCTGACTTGGATTTTCTGTGGAAAAAAATACTATGGTGTGTGGCAGGAGAAACTCCGGGTGAAGTCTGAATGAAAAATTTGGCTGTTTGCGTTCACACATGCAGCTCCTCTGGAAATATCCTGATTTTTTTTTAGAATTTTTCTGAAAGTGTGTAAGCCTTTTCCTGTCTCTCTTCAGCTGTCCTATCAAATAAAGGTAAATATGGCCCAATAGACTGCGTTAAACTTTGTTTTGTCCTTTGTGAAAGTGTTTTCCTTTTGTAATTTTTAATTCATAAAATGTTTTCCAAAATTTAAATTTGTCTCCAGCTTTGTAAAAGTATTTCACACTTACTTTTTCAAGTAAGCAACAGCCAAATAAGTGTAAAGTATAGCTGTATTAAGTGGCATAAATGAAGAAGGAAAAACAAACAAAAGAATGGATAGGTATAGGTAGTGCTAGTAGACTAAATTACCTCAAAACTGTACTAAGTTCAGTATTTAATTAATGTTAATTTAGTTTATAGTTAGATTTATCAATAGCTGGATAAATACACAATATGTGAACCAAAGCGGAACAAATACATTACAAATAAACCAGAGGAAAATATTTTTTATGA